GGATCAACAGAAAATTGAAAACCTTTTATTTTGCAAAAGTTGTTTTTTTTTTTAAATCACATTACCATGTGCTGTCACTCATTTGAGAAGATGACAGCTTAGCACCCCCAAAATAGGAATGGAATCCGTATCAGAATGAAGCATGATTTGTTTGTTTTGCACTGCTGGGGATTCAACCTAGGATCTCAAGAATGCAAGGTAAAACCTACATCCTCAGCCCAGCATGATGTTTTTAATTGAATAAATTTAAAGTTATTAAACATTACCTGTTGCATTTCATCATGGCCCTACATTGGAAGATCTTTAAGTTGTTCATTTATGAGTATGTTACCACTACATTAAGATATTTTGATATTCATGATATGTTCTATTTCTACCACCTAGGGTACCTCTACCCTTTATTCTTTACTTACCAACCATCTGTTTTCCTTTATGAATAAATGTTATTTTTTTCTCCAAGAACCTTGCCCCGATCCTCTAGTTTTCTTTAAGGGTCTACTCTTCTTGTCTTGGCTCTGGAGCTTATCATACAGGCTGAGCATCACTAATCCCAAAATCTGAAATTCTAAATGCTGCAAAACCCAAAATGTGAAGTGACATGACATCCCACGTGGAAAATTCCATATCTCCCCTCATGTGACAGGTGGCAGTCAAAAGGCAGGCACACAACATACAGTTTATTCAACATTCCCTACCTGAAAAGCATGTCCACAAAGGGTAACAAAATGCCAATTGTGCACCTCAAAGGAGCCAACGGCCAGATCCCCATGATACCCCATGTTGGGCCAAGACCTGTGTACATTATCCACTGTGTATGTTTGTTTGTTTTTATTTTCTGTAATGTGGTATGAAGATATTATTGAAAACATCAAAAAAAAACCTGCAGATTTTCATTTAGATAAGGCCAATAAGAGAAAAGGGGAAGCATTTATGTTTATCCACTCCGCGGAAAGCAAAGCTGTTGGAGAAAGAGGACAGCAGTGTAAAGTGAGGAACATCTTCCAGAAGAGTAAGGAACAACTATTACACATGACCTCAAGAAACAGAAGGACACATTATTGAAGCTCTATCTTGAAAGTAATAAACAGTTAATGGAAAATAGAAAAATGCTGCATAAAGCTAAAAATGAAGATCTTGATTGTATTTTGAGTTGGTCCATTAGTGTCATAGAAAGCTCATGACACTGAACAAAACAAAAAAGATAAACATGAGCTGAAAATGGAAGGAAACCAAACATTTAGTAAGTTGATTAAGGTAACATAAGAAAACCCAAGGTACTTTATCAGAGCCCGACGGAGAGTATGCCTATAATCTAGTTACTCAAGAGGCTGAGGCAGGAGGATTGCAAATTTGAGGGCAGCCTCAGCAATTAAGTGAGGCCCTAAGTAACTTCATGAGAAACTGTCTCAAAATAAAAAGGACCAGGGATGTGAATCAGTGGTAAAGTGCTTCTGGGTTCAATCCATACACAGTACCAAAACCCAAAAACAAACAAAAAATCCTAAGTCAAGATGATGGTGATAATAATAAAGATGATATTAACACTGACAGAAAGTCTAGAAAAGAGCCTATAAATGACATGGTAAAAATATGCAATAGGCTTTTTTGAAGGACTAGAGCAGTGTACATTCATAACAAATGATCTGAGTTGATAAAAGCAAAGAGACTTCTAAGACAAAAACTACTATTAATTAGGCAGATGACTGGAGGAAACATTTAAAAAAAAAAAACAAAAATTAAAAATAGAACTACCACATGATCCCATATTCCCACCACTGATTATATAGCCAGAGGAAATGCACTCAGTATGTCCAGGAGACATCCATACTCCCAAGATTTTTTTGCTGTGTTGATCATAATAGCCAAGAAGTAGAATCAACCTAAATGTCCAACAACTGGTGAATGGATAAAGAAAATGTGAGATTCATACATGGTAGAATAGGATTTCACCCATTCAAAAAAAGGAAAAAATCCTGTCATTTGTGTCAATATAGATGGAACTGGAGGTCATTGTGTGAAGAAGAAGCTAGTCACAGAAAGGTGAATACCATATGATCTCACTCATGTGGAATATTGAAAAGCTGATAGAAGTGGAGAACAGAACAGTGGTTACCAGAGGCTGGGAGAAGAAGGGGAAGGGAGGGATGAGAAAGGATGATCAAAGGGGACTAAGTTACAGTTAGATAGTAGCAAGAAATTCTGGTATGCAATTTCTTCATAATCTCATGGGTAAAACAAAGTTTCAATTATGTACCATATATCCCAAAAGCTGAAAGAAAGGATTTTGATTTTTTTTTCTTTTTTTTTGTGCCAGGGATTGAATCCAGCAGTGCTTAACCACTAAGCTACATCCCCAGCCCCAGCCCATTTATTTTTTTATTTTTATTTTTTAAGACAAGGTCTTTCTAAGTTGCTCAGGGCCTTGCTAAGTTACTGAGTTTGGCGTTGAACTTGGGAATCCTCCTACCTCAGCCTCCAGAGCCACTGGGGTTACAGGTATGCACCATCGAACCCAGAGAGGATTCTGAATGTTTTTATCATAAATAAACTAAAAATGGGACTGCCAATGTGGCTCAGTTAAGTTTGATCCTGAATATCTCAAAAACAAAGAAATGATCAATGTTTGAGAAGTCAGACAACATATAACCTGATTTAAACATCATACAATGTATACATATATTGAATCATCACAAGATAGGCAAATATGTGCAAGCTTTATTTTTATGTATCAGTTTAAAAATAAATTTAGTTTGAATTTTAAAAAAAGATATCGCCCAGCACAGAGCCTTCTCTAGAGGAGCCACTTCTCTGTCCTACAACTCACCTTAAAAAAAAAAAGAAAAGAAAAGAAAAGAAAGAAAGAAAGGAAGGAAGGAAGGAAGGAAGGAAGGAAGGAAGGAAGGAAGAGAAAGAAGAAAGGAAAAATATTCAATGTACAGTTTCTTTTATCTTGGAAGGATACTGAGAGCTGTGGTTATTTGCTGTTGCTGTTGTTTACAGCCAATACAGGTGATGCTACTGTGCTGCTACTATTACCCGAACACTATTTTTTTCATTGAAAAATGATACAACTTTTTTTTTCCTTTTTTACTGTTAATTGCTTGTGTGTGAATGAGGAAAAGAAAATGATTACTTATTTGTAGCCTAGAAACTCTAGTCAGGAACAAAGGCAAAGTCAACCTAACCAGAGGCTGTCTACCTGGGTAGCTGAGACAGCAACCTCTTTGTTTTCCAATAGTTCAGTGTACACAAACCTTGTGTCATACACAGAATATTAAAAATATTGTATAAAATTGTATTCAGGATACCTGTCTAAGGTGACTATGAAACATAAATTAATTTTGTGTTTAGACTTGGGTCCCCTTCCCAAGATTTCCAAAATCTTAAAAATTCTAGGCTCTTTGAGGGCCGGCATGTCATTCAGTATTTTATCCGATGGGTCCTGACACATAGTAAATGCTGAGGAAAGATGTTGAAGAGACAGATTGACACAGAAATGAATTCAAAACCATCACCTGGGTGGGCTGAGGTGTAATTCAGTGGCTGAGCCTTTGCCTAGCATTACCAAGGAAGGCCCTAGCTTTGATCCCCACCAACACAAAAACAAACAAAACCCCCCAAAATGATTACTTGCCAGTTTTCAACTGAAAAACAATATAGATAGCTATTTGCTGCTTAATATTTGCAGTCATATTTGGAGGACACCACCAGGTAACCTGACTGTGCATTTCTTCTTCCCTGGTTGTCATAAATTATTGTGCAAGTATTTTTTTGTAATTGACAAAAATTGTATGGATTTATAAAGTACACCACAATGCTTTAATTGCTTTTTTGTTGTCATTTTTGTTTTTGTAGTATTGGGGATTGAACCAGACGTGCTCTACCATTAAGCTACATTCGCAACCCTTAATCTGTCCTCATGCTTGGCCGGCATATTTTTTATTGTTATTATTGTTGTTGCTATTTTAGGTCCTGGGAATTTAATCACTGAGCCACATCCCAAGCCATTTTCATTTTTTACTTTGAGACAGGGTCTCACTAAATTGCTTAGGGCCTTGCTAAGTTGTTGAGGTTGGCTTTGAACTTGCGATCCTCCAGCCTCAGCCTCCCAAGTCACTGGGTTCATGGGCATGGGCCACCATGACCAGCATATTTTGATATTTTGTATATCAAGTTGCCCACTGGTGTCTTTTTCTTGGGCACTGCTCTCTCTTGTTGGCACTCTATCTGTCATTCCGTGCTCCTGAGGCATCCTTCCTGTCCTTCAAATCTCCGATTTTATCTAAGTGATATAGAATTCCTGGATTATTGTTGGGAAAATCCAAGATTTAAAAAAATGGCTATATGACAGGTCACAAAATTACCCAGAAGACCTTCTTTATCTCCCTGTCTAATGCCATCTAGAATGTTTTTTTTCCATCCAGAACCTTTGGACCTTCCCTCCCCTGAAGGTACATCCATGGCTGACAACTTCCAGAATGAGCCAGAGGCAGCCTGTATCACTGAAGTTATGTTTGTTGTATTATAAACCCATTTATAGATGTCCAGAAAATTTAAAGCTTAACCAGCAAATCCAAAGTAGAGCAGGAGAATTTTCTGGAGTGTGAATGTCAGCTAGAGAAAAGGCACTCATTTTTGAATATGCATTTGGGGGCAAATCGGCAAAGAAAACCCAAAAAGTTGGGCTGGGGATGTGGCTCAAGTGGTAGCGCGCTTACCTGGCATGCGTGTGGCCTGGGTTCGATCCTCAGCACCACATACAAAGATGTTGTGTCTGCTGAAAACTAAAATATAAATATTAAAAATTCTCTCTCTTCTTAAAAAAAAAAAAAAAAAAAACCCAAAAAAGTGAAAGGGGATCTATGATTATGCCTCCATGGGAGGAAAAAAAGGGAGGGGGGCCTGGTCTTTGAGTATTTTAGAAGCGTAAACCAACATTGATAAATATTGTTGAAAACACTGGTAATGGAAGGGTACACAAGGTACTTGGGATATTTTGGGCAGAGAAGAGATATGATTAGATTTAGTTTTTGGAAAGCCCCAAAGATGATGGATTGGAGAGAGGTAAAGTTGAAATGACTTCTATTTTTGTCTCCAACTCTTATTTAAATCTTTAAATAATTTAGTGTTTCTTGTGGTCTTATCTCTTCAACTTGAAATCTATTTATCATGTTTTATTTATTTATTTATTCTTCAGTCACCCCTAAAAAGGAGAACAATTTTAGTTCCCTCCCCCTGGAACCTTATCTTAACTTTGCTTAGATTTGAATCCAAGAGCACAACCCAAGCCATTTGAACTGATATAGATCTGGGGTTCAGAAAATGCGAAAGAACCAGCCGTCAGAAGGTGACACATACAGATTTTGGACAAAGCTCGGCTTCTTCTTGTTAAAGCAGTTCATATGGTTTGGATTGTGAAAGAGGAGTGAAGCATTGGACAACAGCAACAACAGTACAAATTAATATCAGTAATGATGCTTCAGACACTATGCTAAGTTTTTGGAAGCATTATCACTATTTCTCCCATAAACCCCTATTTAGCTGACAGCATTTCATATATGAGGATAGTCTTAAAGAAAATGTGCAATTTTCCCAGGATCCACACAGATTTGAGCTCTCACGTTGTAGACTGGAAAATCTGAATTCTGAATGTAATAGAGGTTCATTTGATGATGCTTTGACTATATACCTTGTGGCTTTAAAATCTTACATGTTTTTTTTTTCTTTTCCCCAGTCTTCTTTTCCCTAAAACTTCTCTTCCCTGATCTTCTTTTCCCTC